AAATTAATAAAATATTTAACTAAAATGTAAAATCTTTTGTGATGATTTTCAAATATTTATAAAATAACGTGATTGCAAAAATATACATATTTATTATTAAAAAATAATAAAGTTACTAAAAAAATTAACTTGAAAGTATTTTGAATTTCATAAAACTCATTAATTCAAAATTATAACCATCCCTAATATTAAAAATATAAAATATTTTTTTTTTTAGACGATTTTCGAATAATCCTAAAATATACTAATTATATACATAATTTTGTAAAACACATGTATCATCAAAAAATTATGAAACGTGACCAAACTATTTAAAAATCTTGCAAACTATATTTATTTTATTTTCTTGAAATTTTTATAAAACTAATAATTTTAAATCATTTGAAAATTGGAGAAGCTCGATGATTAATTTATATTGTGGAGGGCCAAAATTGGGTGTCAACACGTATTAGTTTTGATTGAACCATTTTCATTTACTATATTGAATATTTTAGTAAGCTATATTAAAATTACTATAATTGTATTAATTTTATTTCATGTTTAACAACGTAACTTCACTATTATTTGAAAATACCTTTTTTGGAAATCGATTCAACTAAAACACTAAAATATGTCATCATATAAATATACATTTAAAGAAAGTTTCAATTGATGTTAGTTTGTATAAAGAATAATGAATTTGTCATGAGATTTGTGTATTCTTACTCATGAAGGGTGATGTAAAAAGTTAAAAGTTAAAAATTAAAATTATGTTTGTACCTGCATAGACCCGCAACCCGCCCACTCCCTCAGTGGTTTTAAAAAAATTTACTCCCACCCGCCTCGCATCCATCCCTGTCCCATACAACCTTAAAACCGTCCCACTCCGTATCCGTACCGCTCTATTGCCATCTCTATTCCTGGAACCGTTGTACTTAGATGTAGGTAGGCATGAAGGTTTTGTACATTGCATCTTAGTTGGGGTAATCCAAAAAATATTCCGCCCTAGGAACAATTTTGTGTTTGCTTGAGTACTATATAAAAATGCCATGAATTTTGTTTTAAGTACTATTTGGGTTTTTACTGTTCACAAATTTCTCAAAGTTTTACTAAATAGTCCAGGAGAGTCCACCCCCCTCCTCCATAACAATAATTACGCCTCAATGCCAAATAAGTAGAGCTTTGGTCTCAAATTTGGATAAAGAAAAAAAGTTGCAGTGAGTAATTAATTAGCTGCAGTCATCGTAAAACTTGTCAATTCATGACGAAACCCGCCTCCAACCCCTCAAAACAAATAAAATAAAATTTATTAGATCAAGATTAATTTCATCACATATCCTCTATAACTGAAGATATTAACAAAAGAGTCAAAATGAAACACTTTTATTTGCTTGTTATTGATAAATGATGAAGCAAAACTTAAAAAGGGTGGACAAAATTATTAAGTTAATGAACTCCCACTTTAAGGATTGTTCATGGAAGCAACACAAAAAATTACAACTAGGAAATGACTTAAATAATTTGGGCAAGTATATATGTCTTGTATGAAATTGAAGTGTAACATATCAATTTTCAACTTCCTTCACTTTCTGAATGAGATCAGCAGCATCTTGGACAGTAGCAATATTTTGAGCTCCCTCTTCTCCAATTGACACTCCAAATTTCTCTTCTAATGCCATCATTATTTCCACCTATTCAATTTCACAATAAGACATTGTAAGTGTTTCAATATATATACACGAGTTTTAACCTATTATAGCACGTAACCTGTCTTATTTTCAAGTTAATAGTACTATGCAACTCTATATTTGTAGAACATACAGTGTCAAGGGAATCAGCACCCAAATTAGCAAATTTAGTCTGAGGTGTCACTGTACTTTCATCAATAGATAGCTGTTTGGCAATTGTGCTTTGGACAACTTCCAATGTTTCTGGTTGAGCCTACATGAACAAAACAATTATTTTTTTAAGTATTTTGAGAAATGTGCTTAGTAGAAAACAATTAAATTTAAATGTCTTACAATTGAGCATGAGATTTGATTCTTGTAGCCATGGGACAATTTTGGTGTTTTTGTTGCTGCTCTGGAAATTTGAATGCTTGGCATAAGTCTAAGCCCACCTACCTTTGAACCGAACTGCGACGTAAAAAAGAAAGAAATAATAAAAGAAGTGGAAACTCTTACAATAAATTATGTACCTCGCGTTCATTATTTGAAGAAAAGTGTTAAATTTCTATATTTAGTAGTACTTAATACGTTTGAAATTCCAGTAGTCATAGTTATAACATCTCATATTTAAAATCATAAGATTTGAAGAGAAAAAGAAAGCACATTACATTTTTTATTTTCCTAATGTGGCATTGAGAATTAGTGGAAGTGCACATAAGTATGGTTGAAGGAGCTGTGGATGTTGAAATAAAGGAAGCCATGTGAAAGATATTGTGTTAATTAAATGAAAAACCACGCTAAACAAGAAAATTCTCTGATACTTAGATATATATTGTAAATTACATAATTATTTATAGTGCAAATGAATGGCGATCTTAACTAGACTTTGGCTTTTTGTCCAAATAAAGTTACGGTCCATCCTATGCTTCTTGTTTTAGAGTGCTCGTAATCTCCAAAATCTGATTTTCCAACTTTTGTGCTTGTAATTTTCATTATTACAAACTGCTTATGTCGCAGCCTTGGCGCAATTTTCAACATGAGATTTCATCTCGTGATATGTTAGTTTGATGAAAGGTGTGAGTCTCTTTAGTTGCAATGAAAGTTTTCGACTCTCCCTTTTTCGATATGACATTACAAATAAAAGGTGATCAAAATCACTCAGGTCAGTGAGGACTCACTCACTCACCTACCTCTTATCTACTAAATACTTTCCTCTATTTACTTAATTAATTAAAAAGGTAACCATATTGCTCCTTGAGTTTCAATTGGAATGCTAGGGGTTGAAGTCTTAGGGTAAGTTCCAAAGTCCTCAGTTCTTCCTATCAATCTAAGTCGAGGTTATAGTTTCTATGGTAAGACTAACGCAAGGTGCATCAATGCTATTCGAGCTTCATTCCTCGCATTGTAGGGTCTGACATCAAGGAAGTTTTGAGCAGGTCGGATCGATCGATTTTGGATTGTGACAAAGTTAGCTCAAGACGATGCATGAGTTGTCATTTCGAGATCTTAATGCATCAATTGAATATGCTTTATTATAACATATATTTAACAATATGCTGTAGTGATAAATATTCTACATAGTAATGACACGGTTTCTATACGTATGATATATTTCCCTATGATCATATATACAATAGTGAATATTCTATACAATATACAATAATAATACAATTTCTATGCATACATGTTTCCATCCAAAAGTGATTATTTTTGTATATATGAATTTCATATATTAGTGGTACATTTCCTATATATTTTCTATATGCATTTACATATAAGAGAAGCTTCATCAATAGGAATCTCTAAAAAAAAAATTGTAATCCATACTAAAGAGTTTGTTGTGAGTGTCTTGTTCATATCCATTTTTGTTGATTTGAGTTTAATAGAAAATATCATTTAATTTGATTGTTTGAACTGAAAATTGAAGCACAAACTTATTGGGGAGACGTGGGATATTTTTTCTAGGTTTTCTTTCACGTCACAACTGGATTTTGAGTGACAATATATCAAAAGAATAAGAACTGAGAGGAGCACATATCTCTAGTTTGGTGCGATTTGGAGAAGTTTTCAAGTGGTTTGCATCAAATTACAGTAGCAACTAGGGTGTACAAAACCGAATAAAAAACCAAACCAAACCACAAATCGAGTCAAACCGAAAAAAAAACTCGATCATGTACACCCTAGTAGCAACTGTGCTTTTAATGTGGGTTAGAACTTAGAAGTAGGGATGGCAAATAAAACAGGACAGATCAAGGTTAATTAGATAGAACAAGTATTTTACTATTATTTATTATGTTAATCAATAATTGTCAAAACTCCGCACTGATCATGAAGATCCACCATTAATGGTGGATTCTAGAACACATTAGATTCAATCAGTTAGAGAGGATCAATTGAGAAAAATGCACTTCTCATTTCTGAATGATGAAAAATCAAAATGTAAACTGCATACATTGTGTCATTTAATACAACTAGGAAGAATCTAGAAAGTTCCTAATCAATCAGTAAACGGAAATCTAACTAACTAACTAATTTTGTGAATCTGTACTATTAATCAACTAACTCTGTGATGTTGTACTGTTAACTAACTAACATAATTAATCTCAACAATAATCCTTTTTTGTTACGAATCTAGCGGCCACGATGCAGGACCCAATTGATATACTGTCAAATTACATTTGGGACCCGGGTTAAAGGAATGAGCCTGTGCACTAAAGATGCCTATATATAGAGGATAAACTATCTCATTAGGGTTATGCTATGAGTTATGTTATTTTCTTTTAGTTAGCTATTTTGTAATAACAGTCTGGAATCTCCCTTTTCTATCTTTCCTTCTTTTCGTTCTTTGATGAGCTTGTAAGTTGTTTTATGATCAATACAAACCTTAGTTTGTTACATTGGTGCTTTCATTGAATCCATCTACTAACTATGGTGGACAACGAACTCTCAGCTCTCTCATATTCAACAATGGGTTTCACTTCATCAGTCTCTAGTTTTCATTCTCTTACAGAGTCTAATCAGAAATTGCTTCAAGCTCTGCACTCTCATGTTGCTTTAATGCATTCTCAGCCGTCTCCAGTGGAGTTGGGTCCATTCAACGACTACAATGCAGTGGGTTGGGTTTTATTAGCGGAGCTCTATTTTGATTTTTTTTGCCATTTCGGATGCCCACAAATTACACTATGTCTCCTACTATTTCGATGGTGATGCCCTTGAATGGTTTCATTGGATGTATTCAGAGGCGGATTCAGGATTTCAAGTCTCTAGGTGCCAAGTAGGTTCATCGGTTAAATCAATTTTAGGCTTCAGTCGAATTATTCGTCTTTTCGGTCTATGACAAATATGAACAATAATAAGATGACAATTTATGTATTATATACACTACAAATTCTTGCGCATAGGTCATGCTAATCTTCTCCGCATTGTTTCAATTTTATCAGATGTCTCGAACGGAGCAAAAGTTTATTGTTTTAATTTAGATCCTCTTGTTGAAAGTCGAATTCAAGACCGACAACAGAAGATTTTTTCTCACGTAATATTTGGGAAAAATCATTTTAGCTCAATTGGTTGACTATTTGAACTCTCACCTTACCATTTTCCCTTCACTTCCCTACCTACATATATAAATACAAATTTGCACCACATTTGATTGAGATCATAAAGTAAACAAAGTTAAGACTTTCAATTATACTATAAATATCATAAATATTCATCATAAATATTCATCATTCATTTATAATTGTGCTCGACAAGTTTTCATATTTTGAATACGATCAATGACGATATCATTGCTTGTATTTACAAATAGATCACGTTTTAAGTAACACGTTAGTCAAATATACTTATAAATTACTACTCCATATTAAGACAACTATTAGAAACAAGACAAAATAAATAATGTGCCATTGTCATATTAAGGGAGCAAGTTAAAATTGCAAATTAAAAAACTGTCAGGGCCTCAACAAGATTCGACCTCGCGACCTCCGTGTTAGAATATGACCCTTAGCCTGCTGCACCACAAGGCATTTTGGTTCCTTAGGTGGCATGTTTAGTATTTGTAATTATATTGTAGGTATATACCTATATATACTAGAGTTTCCATCGAAGCCCGTGGGTGGCATGGCAACCCCACGAACCTTACTAGATCCGCCCCTGGATGTATCGCAATAATCAATTAGTTGATTGGAAGCATTTTAAAGAGCAAGTGGTGTTGCGATTTCAGAACACAACCATTACTACATCAAGGTATTTTGTTGATCCTTCTCGTGCCCATTTTGACTATGATAGGTCTGCACCTATGGTTACACCTGGGAGTGGCAAACGAGCGGGTCGAGTAGAATATGAGTCGATCAAAAACAAGTTAAACAAAATGGGTAAAATACTCGACTCGACTCGACTCATATTTTAAATGGGTAAAAAATGAGTTACCCAATGGATAATATGGATATCCATATTACCCATATTATTCTATGAGTCAAGTTTCTCACATGCTCAATGAGCTCCAAAATGACCAAGTCATAAAGCATTTAAAGACATTAAATGATCAATTTGGATAAGGAAGATAACTAAATCAGACAATTGTGACTGGAACACTTTTGTCAAATGACAATTAAGTTTGCCTAATCCACCAAAATTGTTATTGAAAAAAGAGATACATTTGTGAATTTTACAGAAAGTTGTTTTGTCTTTTGTGTGTTACTACATGACAAGTTTCTAACAGTTTTTCAAACACTTCTTCCATCTTATGTCATGACCTCTAAAGCCTCTATGGTTTGTCCAAGTATGTTAAATATTGTTGCTGCAATATGAGATGGTGTTAATCCAGCTTCCGCCAACTGATCAACTGGAGATCCACGATTAATTGCTCGGCAGCATGTTAACTCTAAAAAGACGAAAGATGTTGCACCTACAAGGCTACCACTTCCAACAAAATTTCCACAAACTCTCAGTGGTTTCTGCTATTGTGGATTGTCCTTTGAGATGTGATGATCTGACAGAAAAAGAAAACAAAAAAAAATAAGATCGTAGGTATGCAGAAACTTTCATTACACATTCTAATAAATGTGAAGTTACTTTCATTACACATTTTTAATAGATTTGAAGTTACAATCTAAGTTCAAAAATATGAGAACAGTTGATCATAAATTGTTATCAACAACAGAGATTACTAAGAACAATATAAAAGAAAGGCAGAAAAATGTGAGTTGCTCTCAAGTCTTACCGCTAAGTTTATCGACATAAGGTTGAAGGTCAACAACAATCTCATCTTTATCAGAATCTGATTCAAATCCATCAAGATCTTCAACAATTTAAAAAAAAACAAGTCATTACAGTTCTAAATGCAAATTCACTATATTAAATGAAACAAATGAAACTAGAGAAGATAAATTTACCTTCTTGTCCACAAATCCAATCCCTAGTACATAGTTTCACCTCAACATTTGCATGAAGAATAGAACTTTGAAACTTTCCAATGACACGACCTCCGATGCTAAATACAAATTTAGAGGCTATTGTAGTTATGGGCACACTCAAAACATCCCGTGCCATTAATGAAAGTTCTGGATACCTTAGTTTGTTATCCTTCCAAAATCCAAGTACATCTAGATTCAGATTTATTTTACGATCAACATTAGCTTCTTCCAAATATAACTCTAATTGTGTTTTACTGGTAGATCAACATTAGCTTCTTCCAAATATAACTCTAATTGTGTTTTACTGGTACTCGACTCTAACTGACTTTAAAACATATCAAACTCCTCAAATGCTTCAGTCATTTGATTTCTACTACTACAAGCATGCTCCTCTAGTAATGAAGTTGACAATGAGGTTGTAGTAGATGGTATCAAGTACTCTTCGAATAATAACTTTAAATTATCTTCGATAATTAGCGATATCAAAATTAAGCTTTGAAAAACAAAACTTAACAAAATTCAGTTTATATCGCGGGTCAAGAACCATTGCTATAGATAAAATTATGTTATATGACTCCCAATATATTTTGAACTTCTTTAACATAGAAGTGGCCATCTCAGTCATCATTGGATCTTTACTTCTTTTGTGTTCTACCAATAGCATTTCAATTCTCCATATATTAAGAATATACAAAATTGTTGTGGGGTTCTTGCATCCAGAAAATAAAGTTGTGATATCATAGAATGGCCTCAAAAATGTAGCTACAATCTTAACCTTTTTCCATTCATCTTCAAAAAGGGTATGTCTAAAATCAGGATCAACCAAGTCATAATGAAAATATGCCTACTGATACAAAAGAGCACTTTCAATCATTTGATAGGTTGAATTCCATCGAATAGGCACATCTTGAAGTAGATTTTTAGAACATGGTAGACCAAGGTTACTAAGGCACTCCGCAAATTTCTCTAGTCTTACTTCTGAATTCTTGATATACTTAACACCTTCTCTACTTTTTCCAATAGTTGCATCAACCTTCGCTAAACCCGCCTTAACAATTAAGTTAAGGATGTGATTTCCACAACGAAGATGAAGAAACTTTCCCTCACAAACTAGTGAACGCATTAAAGACAAATGATTCTTCGAAACATCAACCACACCTGTATTGCAAGTAGCATTATCTAAAGTAAGGGCAAAGATTTTATTTTCGATTCCCCACTCTTTAAGAAAACCAATCAATAAATGACCTAAAATTACACCCGAATGTGGAGGAGGAACATGACAAAAAATCAAAACCCTTTTCTCAAGAACCCATTTTATGTCCACATAATGAGTTGTTACACACATATAGCCATTAGATACTAATGAAGTCCACATGTCAGATGTCAAACACACTATACTAGAAATCAATTTAATGCAAGTTCAACTTTTAAAAGTTCTTTTTCTCTAGCATACAAACTCAAGATATCCGACTTGGCTGTGTTTCTTGATCTATGCCTCGCTATTGGATTTAAATACGAATGAATATCCCTGATGCCTTTGTGCTCTACAAAATTGAAAGCATAATTATGCCTACATATAGCCAATGACATCTTCTCTCGATAAGTGTTTTGATCTATTGGCTCATTTTGATCCTCTTTAGCCTTATCTAGGTTATGTTTCTCCAAATACGCTTTAGATTTGTTGTTCCAAATGTAGGGCCCATTGCAAATTTTTGTTTACAGATCATGTATTGAACTTCATACTTTCCGTCAATATAATTAGGCTTAAGTCTAATAAAATAATCCCAAACAACAGACATTTTCCTTTTTGCTCGTATCAACGAAGTTGCAGTACTTCGTTCACAAGACTCTTCATTGCCTTCTATCGACATATCACCCTAATTTTACAAATCATAAAAAATGAGCCATACATACAAATAACAAAATCAACTCATAGCAGCACAATCAATAAGGTAAGAATATGAAATGAACCAAAAGTTACTTTAGCTTTTCACAGACTATGTCTCTGTGGATCATTCATATTTATTTCACACTATTGAGGGAACTACTTCTTTTGCCTTCAACCTACCATATCCCTCTTTCTTCATTTGGGTTTGGACCAGGTATGCTCATATAGGCAGGGTTAAGAAGTAGTTGTACCCTTGACTAGAAGTTGTATTTACATATGCATCACTAAGTAGATCTAAAAGTTGAACTAAAAGAAACAGATAGAAAGTGTACCATCAAATCAATCAAAATAGCAAAGCAGAGTACCACAGTAACAACAACAACAAAAATAGAAAAGGAGAAAATAGAGACGGAGACATAAGTAAAGACGAAGGAGAGAGTCTCACCGGAGAAATCGCTGGAGCTAAGACAATGTTGGTTGATGGAAGACGATGAAAAGCTGAGGCAATTTTGGTTCGCGTGGGTTTCAAATTTTTGCCCTATTTTTTCTCTTACAGTGAATAAGCCTTTCTATTTACCCATTTTACCCATTTAAGTATCCATATTTTAAATGGATAATATGAGTTGGACTCATATTTGACTCATTTTAAAAGCATTGGGTACCCAACCCATTTTAAATGGGTAAAAATGAATGGATACGCAGATTTATAACTCATTTTGCCAACCCTAGTTACACCAATAACCCAGGTCCTTTCATTTGTTGATTTGAATATTTTGCCTACTTATTATGCAATTGAATCTGCTTCTAAAGATGGAAACTCAAATGCGGAACAAGTGTTCGATGAAATGCCACTAGCAGAGGATTCACCATTTAGCTCAGCTAATGGGATCGTTATGTAAGGCTATGACGTAACTATCGAAGCCCACATGTTAGATGTTTGTTCCCAACAAACCAATCACGAGGTGTTCGTCGATGAACAATCCGATGCAACAACCTTTAGCTCGGAGGGTCACTCTGATCTAGAAGATGAAATATTAGAGCAGGTGTGCGATGTACAAGCTAAATTTGAAGGCTCGGTGAGTCCTGTTCAAAATACTATGGTTGCTAACGATCAAGGGTTTGTGCTAGAGGATTTTACCCCAATCTTAGGGAAT